CTCACATCTTTTTAATGTTATGTGAAAATAAACAAAAGCACAGTAGATTAGTTTACATCAAATAACACAAGCATTTTTTCTTGTTTAATTTATAGGGAATTTAATAGCGAGCCTGGCTCATTCTCGAGCTGGTATTCCAGAAGCATTTACCACATTAGGGACGATCCAACGGCTCTGCTATAATTTGTACTCAGGAAAAGATGAGGTAAAAAGAAAAATAACTCTGAAACTGAAGTATTCTAATATAATTTGCCTCTCATGTCTGTGGGCTAATTTCTCCACAAGTTGATTGTGGTATATAAAAGTTCATGTTACTAACTCAAAGTGAGATGATTTTTCTAGTAATACATCCGCCATCCACAATCATGGTTCCCACAAAATGCGCACATTTGTTTTAATTTTGATATTTAAGATTCAAGCTACAAATCAGAAATTTATAATTAAAATATTTATAAAACATCTCATAAAAGCTGGTTAGTTTTTGTGATCTCACTAAGTCACCTGTATGACTATTTGGAATGAATGAAAGTGAAATCCACTGGACAACATTTCTTATCTGCCATGCTGGGTTAGAGATGAGGGCGCGTGTAGAATGCTGGGCCCCATAGTGGTTTTCCTCTGAGTGTTCCCCTGTGCTTTCCCCCCAAGGTGTAAGGCAGTGTTTCTCCAACTTTAGGGGACACTGCAGTCACCTGGAGGAACCTGTTACAGTAGATTCTGGGCACCATTCCCAGAGTTTCTGATCTCATACATCTGGCGTAGGCCCTAGCATGTGCATTTCTAACAAGTTCCAAGAAGCTGTAGCTGCTGTTCCAGGGACCATATACGGAAAATGACTGTTCAAGGCATGGCAAATACATGAGCTTATACAGCAGTCATATGCCAACGTGAAGACCAATATGTTAACCCTCAGGTGCCCTGCATGGGCCTGGCTTATGTTCATTCTGTGGCATTTCTTATGCCACCACTAACACATTTTCCTAAGAACTGCCCAGAAGTATACTTGAATTAATCATATGAACAACCTAATTATTTCAGGGTCACAGACCAAGGGTATTTCCTTCAAAGACGGAAAGAACTTTTTCTGGAGTCCTGGCGCCTAATACTTGTTCTTGTTTCTTGGTTTTTGCCGGAAGAAAATTAAGTTGCTTTTCTGAGTGCCTTATTTTTAATTTACTTTTACCCTATAGGCTCTTGTCTGGTTTCCTAATACCTGAGCAGTTTTGAAAAAAATCATGATGTATAGGCTGCACCCCAAAATAATTAAATCAGTTTCTGGGGTGGAGGGGTAGAACCCAGGCATGAGTAACTTTCATAGCTATCCAGGCGATTCAATGCGCAATCAAGGCTGAGACCCACTGTCTTAGTTCAAACTCAATGGCTCTTTTTCTGGCTACACATTAGAATTGCCTGTGGCACTTTAAAAACAGTTTAAGTGTCCATATTCTACCCCAAGAGTCTGATGAATCTGATACAGTTGGTGGGTTTAAAAAACAAACAAAACAACATCGACAACAACAAAAAACTCCTGGTCATTCTAAAATGCAGTCAGGACTGAGAACAACTACTAGAAATCAATGGCAGTTGACACTCCTCTCTAAAAATATGGCTGTGATTGCCATTGGCTGGCATACATGTTTGCTGTACACAGCTACAGGGACAGTCCTATGAAACATCTAACGAGAGTGCTGAGTTAAGTATTGTAAGAACAAAGCTCAGTGGTTAAGGAGAAATTGTTTCTTTTTCATTTAGGTTCGTGCAGCTTGCTCCTGTGCCCTTGGCTACTTAACTTACAATGCAAATGCTTTCCGCATCCTATTAAAGGAATGCAGGAATAAGCCTAATCAGTTCCTCCGTATAACAAATAATATCAGCAGAGATGCAAGTATTAACCCAGCATTTTTAAAGGAATTTCAAATACAACAAAAAGTGGGACTTCCATCCTTAAGGTATTGTGCCTATATTTGAAGTTTGCAGTAGTGAAATTATTGACAGAGGGAATTTTAAGGAAGATTACACAAGGGGAACTACCCTTGATATGAATATATGCCTTTTATACCAAAGGATAAACCTCATTCTAAACGTCCACAGCCAAAGCCTGTTTTCATTCCGAAACTTGGCAACAGAATTGTGAGTGCAGACAAGAATACAAGATCTTGGGGATCCTGTCTAGCTAGGATGACTCACATTTCAGAAAAGTTTTAGGGAGAACTGGTTGCCTCCACGTCAGATCCAAGAAGGCATTTTGGGGTACACTGGGGTCATTTGAGAGTTCTGAGCCATCCAGGAACACCACCATGACCTTGACATCAAATGGGAGTTTTGGACTTAATCCAAAGGTAGGTCAGACTCCAAGGGTGGAAACAGGGCTAAATCACACCCATGCCAAACGCATGCCAAAGTTTGCCAGGTATTTAATCAGGGGATTTGGCATCAATGTTGTAGGTTCATCATGAACTTAAGTTATGAAAAAAGAGACTCTCCTTACGATGGGCACATTTCCTTCCATAAATGTAGCTGAATTACAAGTCTTCTCTGCAAAATAGCATTATTTAAATAAAGGAAACAGATCTACTCAAGCTATATTATCATCTTTATGATAGTAGAAAAGAATAGGATACAATAGTGTATTCTGGTTCTAAAAATCAATTTTAAGTGTATAGAGAAAAATAAATACATCTTCAGAGTCACTTTAATTTGAATTCTTTGAAAAGTTGAAAACCTATTACCTAATTTTATATAAAAAGCCAGGGAAATCTAAATTGCAATAGCTATAATTGACAATGTTAAAAAATATTTAGCCTTTGAAAAAATTACTTTAGGATAAATGATGTATTTTATAGTCACGTCCACAGCTAGCCTTGTGGCAACTTTTTGGGAGATAGAAAAAGGTGACTCTTCCTCAGGACACTTTAGTGCCATCTGCTGGAAAATGATTGGAGCAACTATACAAATCTACAGTGACTGTGATGTGAATGGCACCCCTAGGGTTGTGAACATTCAACTTCCAGGATTATAAATAAGCAGTGACCAGGGCTTAGTAAACTTATAAGAATGGTTACTAAGTGAGGTGGAACTGGTAAGCAAATAATTACTCCTATGACTAAGAGTGCTGTGCACTTTCCTTAGAGCATTTCTATGAACTATTCCCCTTATTATTCATAACAATCCTGTGAAGGAGTTAAGTTTTAAAGAAACCATGGGAAATGCATTAAAAGATTACTAAAACAACTTTGGAACCTTGGGAATGGATAAACATATGCTTCCACAAAATATTCCTTGATCCCACTACTGGAAACAGAAAGTAGACTGGTTGTGGTTGGGATCATAACAGCTTTTTTGGGGAATCTATACCATCTCTATTGCCCGCCATTCAGCACCAAGAATGGGAGATTAGGAGAGCTGGATGTACAAATTTTGAAGTATGTAGACAGGCATATTTTACTGCTGTTACCTGACCCTGCATGAAAATAATCTGAGATTAACACTACCTAGTTTCATGTTACACTATATAGAACATGAAGTTGGCATATGAACAGATTGAGGCCTGGGCCTCATTCAAGTCCACAACAGCAAATGTTCCTCATCAAACTAACCAGGAACACCTTTGTGATAACTATCTTTAATATAATACGTTAACTTTAATTAAGACTTACATTTTATTGCCGGGGGATTTTTGCAATACCGCATTTATATATTACATGTACAGGATGATTAAAATACTCTTTTAAAGCCACACACACACACACATTAACAGGTACACCTTGTTATTCTTTGGCTTGAAACACTACATTGGTAACCCAGTACTTTGAAAATAAAGTTCAAATTTTCTTGTATTCTTAATATATAACATGACCTGATCTTTATTCTCTACTTTATCCTCCATCCCATCTCCAGATACCTTTAATTCTAACCACACCTGACTACCTAGTGCCCTCTGAACATGCCATACTGTTTTATAGTACTGGAACCTTTCATACCCTATTCCCTCTCTCTGGAATACCCTCCCCCACCTCAGCCATTTGAAGACCTAGTTTCTTCAAAACCCAGATGAAATGTTTCTCTTTCATGAAGCCTTCCCTGATCATTTCAAGCAGATTTAATGTTCCAGGTGTTTTAAGTGATAAATCAGTAATGAGTGACTGAATATAAAATACCGACAGGTAACATGTATAGTTAGTGCAGGTAACATGCATAAATTAGACCATTAGGCATTAAGCATGGTACCTGGATGCACTAAGTCTTTATATATTTCTAGTTTTTTGATAATAATGTTTTCCTTTTAGTCTGGAGAAAAATGGAGGGCCATCCATAATTCCTGTCTTTAAAAAAGGTAATTGATTTTTCTTTTTTCTCTGAGGTAACTTCTAGCCTTTACGCTTTATAATTCTGCGTTCCATTTCTAAAAATTCAAAATGTAGAGGCTACCAAAAAAATGTTTATCTGTACAATTTTGCTTTTGTAATTCTGTGTACCTGAAATATCTTCCCATTTACAAGCCAATGTTAATCATTTCTTCTAAGGCTTCCCTACTAACATCACTTGACAGAAATCTCTCTTAGCTTTTTCTCACAAGCCATGCACAGAAATAAGGCATTCAGAAAAAAAACATGTAAGTATGACTTAAATTATGGCCTTGCCATTTTTCTGTTCCATGTACAACTTGTCTAATAAATTCTTAGGGCACACATTGTTTCCATTAATACTCTGCAAACTTTTACATATAGTTGGTAAATGATTGGGTGAGTGCCTAGGCCTGCAAGATCAGAGTCCAGATCTTATAATGTTACTTATCAATTCCTATTACACATGTGATAGGAAAAATAAATTACTTATTGATTTCACATAGGCTTAGTCCCTGTTCATGTTGGCTTAGTGTAGGACCCAAATCAGTCTTACTTGGTATATTGTCCTATAGTCAAAAGCAGATAGCACCATTCAGAAGTCAAAATCAGTTTGCTGCAGTCACAAATGGAGAGAATAGGGAGAGAGAACAAAAGGAGAGGAAAGAACTTCATTTATTCATTTCGTATTTGAGGGAGGCTATATTTCTGAATATTACAGGTAGAAGAATATGTTTTTGTATAGCTCCTTTAGTTAAAAGTAATTTACACACAAGAATAAAGTCAGTCTCGTTCTTTCTTCACTTTAATATTGGCTTCTAAATAACAATCTGTGTACCAGTAATGGTCTATGAAGTTTTCACAGGTTTGTAGTAACATAAGAAAAAGATGGACAATGTAGCAAGTTTCTGATAAAGTTAATTTCATTCCATGTAAAGTCCATCATTTTGAGATAATGCTTTTACACTTTCTTTTGGTGTTAAAATATCCCTTCTTTTACAAAATGATATTTAATGATAGTTGGCATTTGTTCTTGTATTAGTGCCAACTTGGCATAGTAAAAAGTTGGCAACCATATATTAGTCCCCAAAGATTTTTGCACCCCTACATCTACAAGTCTGAATGCTACTGATCTGTTCTCTTAATATGTTTTAGTGATGTAAAGAAAATAGAACTATATAGAATTGAAGGCAGTGAGACTATATCTAGGGTTCTTATGCTTAAGAAAGAGACATTTAATTGTGGCTTTCTAATTTTTAGGGAAAAAGCACCGAAGAAAATTAAAACCTAAAATTCAACCAAGAGATTCTTTGACTTTAATGTCTCCTGTAACTAATTTCATGGGACTCTTCAAAACAACAAAAAAGGCCGCTATTTCTCATAATATTTTTTCCTTTTCATCTTCAATTTCATCAGATATCATAAAAGTATCAAGACCAAGAATAGTGTTTTTGAACGACCTTGGGAAACATGTACAGAAAACTAATTCGGAGCCTGCAGAAGGCCAATAAAAGCATTTTAGTATGAAAGGGTTCCTGAGCAATCATTTAAAAAAAATTTTTAATGGTAGTAAAACACATTACATAACTCAGTATAATCGTTTTTTAATGGAAGTTTTTGATATTGATACTTAACAGATGTCCCTTAAATTAAAATCAAGTCAAAGTTATGGTTTCAAAAAATAAGTAGAATTTTCTGAAATACCAGCGATTAAAACTATTAATATATAGCAACTGACACAAGTGGCATAATTAGTACACATATCAAGTGTTAGAAATATTTTTTAACTGGTATGCTGGGCTAGAAAGGCCTGATTCAGAGTAGCCCACATGTTATTACTCTGTAATACCTTGAGATATATGACGATAAATACTACAAAATGCATGAGGGTTCTAAAACCTAAAATATATGCTTTTAAAACATTTTACTTTTAAAAAATCTGAACTCATTACCTATCATGTACAAAAGTATGCCTAAAAAATGTGGCAACCAGTGTTGACCATTCTCCATACATATTGAGTACCTTTGGTTTGTGCCTGAAAAGGGTGATACTCTTTGTGGCTTAGAATCACACAATGTCTTTGCCCAAAGAGCACTGTTGCCAGTAGATAGGAATTTTGATGTATGTCTGCTTTTGCTATTTTACAGCAGCATAGATTTGATACAAAAGCAAGCTGGGCTTCACTGTATCCTTTAAAGCCCCTTTTTCTCTATTCATTTTGCTCAATGTCTTCAAATGGTCTACCTGGGCTGCATTGAACATATGTATTAATTAGTAGTTATTTTCCACAACATGCCATAACATAACAATAATGATGTGATGATAGCAGCTACATGTACTTAGGGCTATATGCCAGTTCGATCCCCGCATGGGCCATTGTGAGCTGCACCCTCCTTTAAAAAAAAAAAAAAAAGATAACATTCAAAGTTATTTTAATGTAGGGGGAAAAAAAAGTTATAAACTTATGATACCTGCAGTACAATGTTTCAGATTCAAAGGAAATTATCCAAAACAAAAATATAACCCTTTTCATCTTGTATTTTAGCCAATTACATATAATTTCTAATATAATAGATATAAATATATGTGGTCAACTAAAAAGTACAATACACAATGAGAAATTACTTGCATGTCATATTTTTTAAAATCTCAGATGGGTTTTAAGAAATGCAGACATTCCATTTGCTCCAGAGAACATATCTATATTTTTATAATTAATAATATACATTCTGTTGTGCAGCGGTTCTCAACCTTCCTAATGCTGCGACCCCTTAATACAGTTCCTCATGTTGTGGTGACCCCCAACCATAAAATTATTTTCGTTGCTACTCTATAACTGTAATTTGCTACTGTTATGAATCGTAATGTAAGTATCTTTTTGTTTTCTGATGGTCTTAGGCGACCCCTGTGAAAGGGTCATTCGACCCCCAAAGGAGTCGCGACCCACAGGTTGAGAACCGCTGTGTTACGAAAAGTCACCCTTGGTCGTGATTTAGAATTCGATGATTTGACATGACCTTGACCTGTCTCCCTTTCTAAAATTGCTCTTGCACTAGAAAAGTCAGACTAATGTTTTACCAGAAGCCAACAACAACAAAAAGCTTCTACTATCATAATGAGAAAGGGGGGGAAAGATCTAGGCCTGTATAATACGGGGCCAGGATTTAGCAGAACCACTGTATTTCTTCCTGCAGGTTTGTTTTTCTACCTGCCAACATCAGTACATTCTTTCCCCTATAAGATGTTTTACTTTGGTTTTTGATAAATTTGTATTTCCTTCTAAGACTATAACACTATTACAGTCTCTCAGAAGAACAGGTAAAACATCAAATGTAAGAAAAGGAATAACAAAAGAAAATCTTGATGAACAATTAATATTACATATGTCCTACAATTTGATATACAAAAAAGTCAAAACTGAATGTTGAAATACTACCTTTAGGAGTTTTTTGAAAAGCAAAAATCAAATCTTCATTTTTAATCGTGGTACTTTTATGGCAGCTTTTTCAACTTCTTCCGTTATATCTACTCCAAGAGGACATCTGCATTATAATCAGACAAATCACATTATTTCAAGTATTTGCTTCCAGATCTGTCACTAGTTTTGCAGACTATTTGCTTAGAACCCTAACAAACAATTTACGAATTTAATGTATAATTAATCATATATCATGACAGTTCTTGAATACATACAAATACAGTGGGATCTCAAACCAAAATAATGGGTGAAAAAAGGCTAGTTCCATTAATAAAAAATCTTAATTTGGAGATATTTTTTTAACCACTTTGAGGTATATTTGACATGTAAAAAGCTATACATAATCTAATATACAACTCAATGACTTTGGGGATTGAGCTGTTTTGAAAGAAATAATTTTACTGCTCTCAAATACTGTAAATAATTAAAAACTTAAAAAACAGAAAAATAACAAAAACGTCTTATAATTCTATACAAAGCTAAAAGGATGGAAACAATTTACCATACAGATAAAGTCAAACCTGCATCCATTCCTACTTTAGAAATTCCCCAGGTTTCTATTGATTCTTCTCTGAGGTTTCAAAATCTGGCTTTTTCATTTTCTACCTTCCTTTGTCACTGTTGGCAGGAGAGGTCTTAGATTCTACACTCTTTGTTCTTCCTCAGTAAATATTTTTGACCTCATATTTCTGCTTTTTTACTGTTTCCCGATATAATGCTTCAACTGGACCCCAACCTGAAAAAAGCCATCATATGCAGCCTCAAAGGCTAGGCCATCAATATGGGGGTTTCTTCTGCCTCTACTAACTTAACTGTTTTTTTATAATCAGCCATAGAGTCTGTGGGTCACATAGCTACAGTTATGGACTACAATGCTGAGACATTTTAAAATATCAGATGAAAAAATGCTGAAAATAGAACTGTTAGATTATGAAACATAATAATCATCCTTTACTATTTTTACTATTCCAGAATTAACTTAGACCAGAACTTGATCACAAATTGAAAAGCTATGCTATTCTTTGGAACTTTGATTTGTGAGATGAAATAAGGCTTGCAGAAACAGCTATCTTTTGGCCATTTCTCAGCTGAGGGTAGAAGAGCATATACACAACCCAGTCTCACACACCCAAATCCTTTTTGCACATTTTCCTTAAGTTTCCCAGCATAGTAGCTGATCCTGAGATGGTCTTGACATTTCAAAGGTCCAGGCCATGGACAGGGTTTCCATTCTGGTCCCAAATGAAGGAATTCATCATCCTTACTCACTGCCTGTTTCTAACCTATTATTTATCCAATTTTTTATAATTGATATGGTAGCAAAAATATTTCTTAGAAGGTATCTACCTCCTAGGTTTATGAAAGAAATTAATGTAATCTTCCTTCAAGTACCACCAGAATGTCAATGAAAACCTCACATATAAAAGCAAAATCTAGGTTTTGACTTTTGTAATGCAACCTGCATAAAGATTATGAATGGTACTACGTACTTTGGTTCATAGCGGATGCCTTCTGTGTCGTATAAAATGCCCAGGCCGGCACGCAATCTTTCAATACCATTCCTAAATAAGAATCATTAAAATAAAATAAATAGCCCAAGATTTAAAGATTTAGCATGATGAAATCGCAATTAATATTTACATAATTATGAGTGAAGCACATACATCCCGTGGCTTACCACGCAATCATAACGCCGTTGTCAGTGCACAGTCTTGGAGGAGGACACAACAAAGTGCATTGTGTTGCATTTGTTACAATTTCCAGAGCTTTTCGGATATATAAGTTACTTGCAACTCCTCCAGATACAACCTGAAGGAATTGAGAACACCAAAATTAACAAATACCACATATGGATATGAGCCAAGCTATTAGCTAAACCTGGGGAAAACCGCCGCATTATACAATAAGAAAACATTACATTTTGATAGGTGGATAATGGGCAAGTGATATATCTGTATAATAAAAATTTGGAGAAGAAAAAAGTCATCAAAAATTTTAATATCAGCATATAACCATTACTATCATTTTTATATATTTTCTTCTAAACTTTTTAAATTACAATCATAATACAATATTTTGGGCTCTGCAGTTTTACTTATAAGCATTTTTTCATTTTACTACATAATTCTTAAAAAAACCATTATCTTTGATATTCATGTAAAATTCCATTTTGTCAACCTACCATCATTTAAATATTTTCTCACTTTATAATTTTCTAAAGAATGAAGTTTCAGATACAGTTAAACAAGAAGTTTATCAAGGCTTTGAAACACATTAAAAGGATTTCATCAAAGGAACAAATATGAAGAAAATCAGCCTATTTTTTTAAAAATAAAGACACCAGCTATTGCATTTCATTTCTTATTGTAAACCCTCTTCTAAATTCAATGAGAAGATGCAGCTTTGGGCTTTTTTGACACACAGGCTGTACAGGTGTCCCATAAAGCTGCCATACCTGTACAAAAAATGGCTTTTAAGTCTTTATTCTGCATATTTTATACTATGTGGGCTAGCATATGGCATTCCATGTGCAGGGTCAGTTAAGCTCTTTGAAGAACATACTTTAAAGTGTTACTACTATTCCAAGATGAGATGAGAAAACTTACCAGTACTGCATTACTTTGAGATAACAAGTCTCTTTGCTTGCAAAACAGAATAGCACGATGTGTTCTTTTTGCAATGTGACATGCTGTTGTGTGCTGTACTGCAGCAGCAATGTCCGCAGCTGAAGACAGGATTTGCCCCTTCTCAATACCTGTAGAAATGAGCAGGTATTTTTAGGCACAACCCAGGATTATTTATTTGTCCAACATCACTGTTTAAAAATATACCTTCCTCTTTTTCCTTTTGCATTATTGTCTTATCAATAATGTGCTGAAGTCCAGTAAAAGAAAAATCACAATTTTTAGCACGTTGCATGGGAGGTGTGAAATCAAAATGCAACCTATTTCCTTGTTTAGCCAAATGTTCTATAGCCTTCCCACCACTCATGGTGGAGCACTCCGGATGATTTATTAAGGAAAGTCTTCTTGCTACCTATCAAAAACAAACAAAAAATTTTATAATGAGTAATAAAATTGCACATTTTAAAAACAAGATGCAAAGGAAATGAATTTTACTAAAAAAACAAAAACCTGGATGAATAAAGCATGCTATACAGTAACTCCCCGACTTACATTCGAGTTGCGAGGTTTCACAGATACAAACGGACCTTGCATAATGAACATTCATAGATACGAACAAATTGCAGAAGTAGCTCATGTGTCTGCCGGACATTGTCACAGTTGTGCTATGTGCTTACTGTAGTACAACAGTGTACAGTAGTAAGTACAGTGCTCAATCAGAGCCCAGGATGTCCGGAAGCAAGAGGAAAAGCAGCTTCACCATCTCCCACCTGCCCTCCCTCCTCCGATTAGTAACTCTCTTCTTGTCAGTTCACCCATGTAATCCCGTATATGCCAGTTGTACTGTACTGTACCACCATTTTAAGATAACTGTAAAAGTAAAAAGTTTATTTACCGTATTTTTGTATGTGTGTGTAGTTTTTTTATGCTTTACATTGTATATTTGTATCAAAGGTGTGTAAGACTCACTTTGTCAGACTTACGAATGAATCCGACTTGCGAACGTTCTCCCAGAACGGAACTTGTTCTTGCTGTACTTTTGCAAATGTGGACTACAGGTGGTGGTCAATAAGTACAAGCGGTCTTGCTTTTTCTGACAATCTGATCAGTAGTGGGTAATCCTGCCTCCCTATCTACTTTTGCTCTTCTGTTGGGGATGGAAATAGGTTTGAAGTTAACAATGACTGCTTAACGATGAAGTTCAAAAATAAAAACCTGCCCTATTTCTTTCAATCATTTCAGCTGTTGGCAGCACGATTTTTGTATATGGCAGTAGGTTCTGTAGGATTCTAAAACAAAGGAAAAAAAATCTGCTTTTGGTGGTGTCAGCAATTGTGACAACCACAGAATTTTGTGCATCTTTAATATTCTTATGTTATCTTTATATATCTTATTTCATTTTTATAGTGCTTTACATTTTACAAAATACTTTGTTGCACACAATATTATCCTATTTGATTAAAAACAGAACTGCATCTGCAAACTATTTGAGCCTTTATGTGCTGATGTAAACGTCCTATCACTTTATTTGCAATGGGTAAGAAAGAATCTTTTATAAATTGGGGACTACTTTTTTTCTTTTTGTCTTACTACACATACATTTTCAGTCTAACATGATACTATTCAGAAATATTTAGATGAATTGTAGTAGTGCATGTATTACTATTTAATTGAATGAAACTGATACTTAACAAAGAATGGAGAAATTAATTATTATATAATTACCTTGTCAAGCATGTCACCCGGTGCTATGTCCAAAGACTTTCCAAGAAGCAGAAAATCTGAAACTCCTTTAACTAATGCCAATAGACAATGGCCTCCAGAAATCAAAAGAACTAAAAAGGGAAATTCTACTTTATTCGTCAACCTAATAGTAAGTGCATGAGCTTCCATATGATGAATGGGAATGAAGGGCTTTTTAAATTTGTCAACCAGCTGTAAGCTAAATGATAAGCCTACTCCTAGGCTTAAAGCAAGTCCTGGTTTTATGGTAGTTGCAATTGCTGAGAGTTCACTTGGAGAGACTTTACTGACAGAGAGAGCTTCTTGCACTATTCGTTGAATATTTTCTCTGTGAAGCTGTTGAGCTACTGGAGGAATAATCCCACCTGTTCTGAAAAAAATTAAAAAGAAAAAAAAAACCTTTTTATAATTTTAAGATTGTGAAAACAGAGGAAGAAAAATCATATATTATAGCTGAAGGCAAGTTTTCAAATTAATCATTATATAGCTAAGAATGTTAGTAAGCCAAGTATTTTCAAATATGTGTGTCTTATAATGCAGCACACTATAAGAACTCAGTATGTAGTGATTAAGGGTATAATGTCTCTGTTCAAAATTGTGCACAACAAACTCCTATGGATTTATTTGTTGATGAAGGAAATTATCAAAATAATCTTGAGAAGCATTCTATGGAAGAAGTGTTGAATAACGGAAGGACAGGATAAAATTGGATTTTAGGAAAATTAATCTCTCAGCCAAGTGAGAGCTTAAAGGCCAGTTTAAGGTTTTCTATAGTAGTTATTACAAGCTTTTGCACAAAAGAAGAAATTAACTCCTAAAATTTGACTTTCACATATGATAAATACAAAAGAATTATTTCATTTTACTTTTTCCAAAAAATGTGTAAACTAGTAAGATAATGTCTACTTACTTTAAATGAACTTCAGTTTGGGAATGTATTGCTTCTCCCAGAACATTTCCAGTTTCATCCACCACAGCAGCTGCTGTATCATCACAACTAGTTTCAATTCCCAATACTAGTTTGTGAAGAAATACTTTTCCAGGATGAAAATTAATACTTCTTAAATATTCATAAATATTCCTTTTCGATGGTTTAGAAAAAACTCTTGCTGTCTTATTCAATATTAGCATACTTACTCTACAGATAATTCCTTGAAAAGAATTAGAGAAACAAAGTTAATATTTGAAACTGACATTAGTTGCTAATCCATTCACTTAGGCAAAATTCTTAAAGCTTGGTTTATTTTTCAATATACACTTTTGTAAACTTATAGGAAAGTTGTGTAAAAGTTAGCAAAAATTTCTAAAGTCTGTAGTAACCTGTTATACACTTATATAATTTATATAAATAACAGTATCATTGAATATAATGCTAAGGGATAAAACACGGAAGTCCAATATAAAAGTTTTTAGTATTACTATTACTTTCATGCTGTTGCTACCATTCATTATTCTTTATAAAACAGCTAATATACAATCGCTACACAGGACAGTCCTCTGAAAAGTGCAATGTATTTTTTGACAGCTAAAATTAAGACGAAATGTGGGTTTAAAAAAAAATCAAAGGATAAAGCGAAAACAGAACATAAAGATAAATGCATTCCATTTCCTTGAAACATCTTTCAAAATAAAATGTAATCATTTGGTTGGAAAACAAGTTTCCATAAAACACACACAAAAAACAAGATTTAGTCATCTAGTTTAGAAACAAGTGTTCTCATAAAGCTCACCTTAAAAGAACCACATCACGACCAAAACGACTGCAACCTAATACCTATTTTATACATTAATTACAATTTCTCGAATTTAATCTACCTTTTTGCCACAGGTTTATCATAACAGGGATCTCCTCAAAACCTATTAGCCCCCAAATAACAGCAGTCCATCACTAAAGCACCCTTATTATTTCCATACTGCCAAGTTTCAGCTCCCACATCACCCGCTCTAAAACTTTCTGAATGTTTAAGCAGACCCCTTCCCTACCATACTAATGGACAAAATGGAAAAAAAGAGCGAATAGATATTGGAACTTTTGTTGTTCCACTGGGGCAGAGGACATCCAGGGATATGATCCACCTATTCGCAGAGAACAGCTGCGGGAAGTGCAGCCGGGACAGGATCAGTGGGGATGGGTGAGCAATTCACCCACCTTCCTCGCGACCGACAGAAGAGTACTCTGCTCGTCTCCCGTGTAAAAACCAGGACTGCCCTTTCTCAGGCACAAGAAAGCCCGAATCTGGCGCGCCGGAAGTGATGCCATCAACACGGTGCCAGCAAACGTCGTCAGGGCCAGCTGGTATTTCCCTAGGAGGCATCATTTTTAAGAATGAGTATAAGCTTTACGAGTGCCTGTGCGTGTGCTCATGCATTTTCTCCCAGATTTGCAGGTAATGAGACTTCTCTACACGGTCACAAGGCTAGTGTCTGGTCTAGCGGAGGCCGAGCACAGATTTATCTGAGTTCTAAGCACTACATTAAGAGAAAACAAAATATTTTGCTGTTGGCTGGAATTCCTATGCCACTGTGAGAAAAGGATTGGGTAGACTATTCGTCATTCCATTTTCGAGTAACTATCACCAAATCTAAAGGTGTGGCCTGAGATACCTAATATTTCCAGGGATAGTGGAAACTAGGAATGCCCGCAAGCACTTGTACAGGGTTCTCAGAGAACGGAAGCATTTCCGGTGGGACAGTTTAAACCGTTACTCCCAGCTTTTGAAGTAAAAGGTGTGTGTGTGGGGGGGTCCTCTGGTTGGTTTTTGTGATAAAAAATAGAGGGCGTGTGTGTGTCCGCGCGCGCTTTTATTGGTATGTGAAGTTATTACCATTTGTTTGAATAGTCCCAAGAAGCTTTCTTTTTCCTTGCAGGCTTGTGGGTTTTATTAAGCAAGGACCTTATAAATGCAAGGTTGGACAGAACTGGCACATATACTTGTGCCTTGAATAGTGTGAAACTCTTGGTATAAAAGATGAATAAATCATAGTTGGTAAATCAAAGCTATAGTCTAATGGTAGATAAAGTTATGTAAATACATAACAGAATGTTATGAAAAAATTTTAGGTGGAACTTACGTTTTTCAAAAACTTCATTTGTGTGACAATAATAATCATAATTAACAATAAAGTGGCACTTAACCATGTACCAGGCACTGTTTAACTATGTACCAGGCACTGTTGCAGATTAATTTATTTAATCCTCCCAACAACACCATGAGGTAGATACTGTCCTCATTTTACATATAAGGCAACTGGTCCATAGAGTTTAGGTGGCTTGCAGGTCACACAGCTAGTTAAGTGTAGAGCTAGGATTAGAAGTCAGGCTATCTGGCTCTGGAGTCTGTTTTCTGAACTGCCAGAAGATAACTCATAGTTTCCCTAGGCTGCACTATTGGCCCAAAATAGAAAAAAATAAAAATTAAGACCTAAAAGTTAAGAAAACGTAGTCATCCTGTCTGATCGGATATGATAGGTCAGAGGTTATTTTCTATTATGCACTGGAATCTAGCCTGAACATAAAACCTTACACATCTGGCATTGTTTTTCTTGCAATTTGAATTATGTTCAGCAGGTGTATTCCAATGCTCTCCTGTGCTGTCAAGAGTTATTCCTGTTCTGTTTGCTACTCTCATTGGTCGATTTCTCGCCTAGGCACTCTGGGTTGGTGTTGAGCCTGAATGCTGCATTATGTGAAAACAGAGCTCTGGGACACATTAGGAAGGAATTTTATTATTCGTTTGATTGAATGAATTGTGTAGTAGAATGAAGTGGCACTTATACACGTCCCACATATTTGACAAGTGAAGGTATACATCTTCTATGTTCTTTATTGTACTAAAGGAAAAGTTATTGGGAAAAAGGTATGTGTGGGCTTTCACCATATCATATGGTTTGGGTGCCACTCATGGGCATTCTCAACAAAATATGGCCTAACCACTGTAACTTCAGTTTGAATTGAGTTCCAACTAAATCGAAATATGCTCATTTTGTCCCTGCTATTGTCTAACTTTTCATTTGCAAACCTTAGAGAAAAATTATATATAGAAGAATCTTTATAATACTCATTCCCTAATTATGTCTTACTAAATTAGATTTTATCACATATATATTGGGTTCTTCCCTTTGTGCTAGATACTTTATTAGTTGTTAGAGATAAAAGATCCATTCCCTATTTTCAAGGAACCAAGTCTAATAACAGTCCATTGCAACACAGTAGTATGAAAAGTGTGCATTGAGAGAGAGAGAGCTTGAGGAAGGTGGTGTAGCTTGCCATGGATGTATCTATCCATAGCCCACAAGGACCTCAGTGTGATTGCTGGGTTTCAACATCTGATTCTTATCAAGGCTTGCAATTGGTTTATCAGATTTGGAAGTTACTGGACTCTGGGGTGCTTAGACACACATTCAATTTGCTAATAAACTGCTATGTAAAAGCCATAATAATGAGAAATGCAACGATGAAGGAGCTAAGCTATTGGGTTGTCGAAAAAGTCATGACATATTTTGTCTATGTATTTCAAAGGTCATTTATTTATATAAAGAATAAAGATCCATCAATGATATATTGCCCGTTTTGTTTGATAACCTTTTGCCATCTTTCAGTGAGCTTCATAATTCCTCGTTCATATGAAGGACCTGTCTTTGTGAAAACTGAACAGGGTGCTGCTTTACAGCCTCATCTGAATTGAATGTTATACCACGCAAGGAGTTTTGAAGAGAGCAAAACAAGTGGAAGTCTGACAACGCAAGGTGAGGTGAGTATGGTGGGTGTGGCAACACATCCCATCCAAGCTCCAAAAAAAATTTTTTTTTAAGATTTTTATTGGGGGTTTGGGGGGTGGGAACAGTGCTGGGGAATTGAGGGAAGGGGAACAGACAAGTTGCTGTGGTTTTGTTCTTCAGTCTAGTTGTGGAGGACGTTGCTTCACTGGCCCAAGTTGGCACCATCATTGCGCTCTTCCCGGGCGAGGCAGATCAGTCGCTGGCTTCTGGACGGCTGCTCACTGCAGTTGCTGGCCACTCATGCTGGCTGCCCACTGCAGCAGTCGCCGGCGACTCACGGCAGTCCAGCTCCAGGTTGAGCTGTTGTTCACCATCTTAGCTGTACAGGGCAATGTCACTGGCCCTCATGTGGGATCCGAACCGGGGTCCTCTGGTGTCCCAGGCCAGCTCTTAACCAATGCGCCACTCGGCCAGTCCCAAGCTCCAATAATTTTTGACGGGTGATCAAACTTGTGTGTGCTCTCGCGTTGTCGCGATGGAACACAACTCCTTTACAATGAACAAGCTCTGGACATTTCTGGATGATGGATTTGTTCAAACTGTCCAGCTCCGACAGTACGCATTCAAATTGATTGTTTGGTTCCTTGGTAGGAGCTCGAAAAACACGACACCTTTAAAATCCCACCACACTGAGAGCATAACCTTCCTCTGATGAATGTCTGCTTTTGATGTCGTTTGAGGTGAATCATCACTTCGGGACGAAGACCGTTTGTGCACCACATTGTTGTAAACAATCCGCTTCTCATCACCAGTTATGTCGTTTCAAAAAAGGATCGTTTTCCACACATATAATGAGCATATTGCAGATGTTTATATGCGCCATCAAATGAACTTCTTTGAGTTCATGCAGAACCCAAATATCAAGCTTGCTTACGTATCCCGGCTTCTTCAGGTGGTCGTGAACGCTTGAATGATAGATGTTCAATGTTTCTGCAATCTCTCGTGTCATGTAACATGGGTTTGATTTGATCAATGCCTTTATTTTGTCATCATCAACCTCGGTGGGCCTCCCTGACCGAGGAGCATCGTTGAGATAAAACTCACCAGCATGGAATTTCGTGAACCATCATTAGCACTGACGTTCTTGTAGAGAATTATCACCATAAACTTTATGCAACTTTTCACAAGCTTGACGCGCATTCTTCCCTTTATGGAAGTAAAACAGGAAAAAATGGCAAAAATGCAGTTTGGTCTTCCATCTTCAACTTGTTGTAAAATCTCCAAAACTCAACCAAATCGCTCAAATTCTTTTTAGAATGAAGCTAGAACCGTCAGCTATCAAATGACATAGCAATAACATAGATGCAAATTACTCTAGTACTTCCAAAAATCAACTAGTTCCATCTGTCGCAAACATGCGTCATGACTTTTCCGACAACTCAATAGTTGAGCTCACTGATCCTCACCTTCTCTGTGTTGACTAAATTACAGTGAAAGCTAGATCCAAATTATAATCAGAAGATTGTTTGGTAAATATGGAATGGAAGCAATAGCAGTAAGTTTGGAGCTTTAAAGGCTCATGTTTCAAGGCTGATGCGCCCTTCCCACCTGAGTCACATACTTCTTAGTTCTTCATAGGTTGGATTGTACTAAAAAGACAGTCGTTTGCCTTTCTCCTCTCTAAGTTTCTTTGCTGACAAATCTCTCTTGATGTGAAACATTCTTTCATTAATGTTAATACTGTCAATCAGCCTCATCTTTGGAAGACATTTTGCTTTTTATTTTGTTTGCTAAGCCATTATGCTTATTTTACAAATTTCCCCTAAGATTTTTTTATTGTGGTAAAATATATGTAACAAAATTTCCCATTTAACTATTTTTAGGTGTACAGTTCAATGGCATTAAGTACATTCGTATTATTGTGCAACCATCACTACCACCCATCTTCAAAGCTTTCTCATCTTCCCTAACTGAAACTCTGTATCCATTAAATACCAATTCCCCATTTCCCCTTCTCCCCAGCCCCTGGAAACTACCATTCTTTCTCTTTATGACTCTTAACTACTCTAGGTTCCTCATATAAGTGGGAGCATACATTTGTCTTTTTGTGACTGACTTATTTCACTTAGCACTAGCATCAAGATTCAGCCAATGTTGTACCATGTGTCAGAATTTCCTTATTTTTAAAGCTGAATATTCCATTGTGTATATCTCATTTTGTTTATCCATTCATCCTTCAATGGACACTTGGGTTGCTTCCACCTTCTATTGTGAATAATGCTGCTATAAGCATGGGTGGTACAAATATATTTTCCAGTGCCTACTTTCACCATTTTTGGGTATATAACCAGAAGCTGGATCATATGGTTGTTTAATTTTCTGAGGACTTGCCATACTCAGATGATCTTACTTTCAAGTGTGTGGGGCCTATATGTTTTTGGCATAGGAGGGAGAGGGTGAATCTTTTTGTTGTTCTAATATACACTCCCTATCACTGCTAAGTGCCATGATAGAAGCATGTGTTTTGATAATTCATAGGAGAATCAAATGTTTCAAAGCATTATATGAGGCTTTCATGTGGTGGTATACTGGTATCTTCCTGGGCAATAGCCAATAATTCATCTGGCTTCTCTGTTCCCATTTTAAAAATTATAAAATGAAAATAATGCATGTTTATCTTCTTGACAAGATGGATCAACATACAGAATTTTTGCAAAATCTGGAAGTTTTTAAAAAACGTGTTGTTGATAAAAATTTGTAATGACATAATTAGAAAGTCAGAAAATTTACATACTATAAAATTCCTGTTTCTATTTTATTTTTTTTAAAGATTTTATTGGGGAATTGGGGAAGGGGAACAGCCAACTTGTTATCCTTCAATCTTAGTTGTGGAGGGCACAGCTAGCTCAGCTCCCAAGTCCAGTCGCCATCTGGCCTCCCGTCAGCAGTGCGTGGCCACTCAGCTCAAGGTGCTGTGTTCAATCTTAGTTGTGAGGAGCGCAGCTCGCCATCCCATGTGGGAGTCAAACCAGCAACCTTGTTGTTAGGAGCACATGCTCTCACCAGCTGTGCCATCCTGCCACCTATTTGCAGCTGAGCTCGGGCGCAGCTCACTGGCCTATGTGGGAATTGAACTGGCGACCCTGTTGCTCAGATCTCCGCTCTTAACCAACTGAGCCATTTGGCCAGCCCCTCCGGTTTATATTTTAAAAGAGCTCATTCTCCAGTGTTAATGATGTAGTTTCTTTACGATAGTTCTTGTATTTAAGAAGAATGTATTTTTATCTACATAATTATGCAATTATCATGAAAGGACATTGTGATAAATTTGGCTTATCTACTAATCTTAAAATTATATAAAACTTTAGAGCTACAAGTTGAGTCACTTCGATAACCCTTGTTTATTAAGAGCTTGAATGAATCAAGAAATGGAATAAATTACACGGCTGTGCTGAGCATAAAATTCAAATATATTTTTACTAAACTATTTTTAAATTATGAAATATTTCAATTATGAAAGTGTTAAGAATCATATGAGTTCTGTGAACCCAACACCCAGTTTAAGAGATAAAACTTCACCAAATACAGTTGAATTATGTGCTGTATAATCAACATATCCAGTATTCTAAATTTGATGTTTGTAATTTTCATGCATTCATTTGTAGCTACATGAAAAAATTTTAAACCCCATATAACAAACTGAATCCTTTTTAACTGGAGCCGAAATTACAGAGTAAAATAAAAAACAGAGACATCTCACTACTTTTCTTTTTGACATCAAGCAAAATGAAGGAGTTTATCTTTGCTATTTTCTTGCCTACCTTCCTTCCCTGCCAAATGCTACTTCAAATTTCCTTTTAGAGTATTTTACCTATACCTGTCTTCCCAGTACTGAACCTGTTTACATTTCCCACATCAACATATAATACCAGGTAATTGTTTTGGGAATTACTCTTGGGTATCTGTCCTGTTAGAAAGATAATAAGTTGCATCAGTCTAGACGGAGTTGCTGCATTTGTCTTCTTCAGGATTAGCATGATGGTATTTTGGGTATCTTATTTACTGGAGACATATATTAATATAGGAGACAATGTAGGAGAAATATATTGCATGACAATCAAGATTTAATTTGAGCTAGCCAAGATAAATCAATAGGCTAACATCTAACAAGATGAGGTTCTATAGGGAAAAAAAAGAAACCTTAGACTTTGGTTAATAAATCCATTAATTAAATACATGAAGAGAAAACGATCATTTAATAATACTATATGTTGAAGACTTGAGGTTTTAGTGATCATAAAGTGAAGCAGTGATACGAGGCTTTTAAAATAGCTAAAATGATAACAGTCTTCATTAAAAAAAAAAAAAGTATCCAGAACAAGGGAAGTGGTACTGTTATAGTGATATCACATTTTAACACCTCTTGTAGTTAGCTCTAGTGTTATATAATAATATGGTAAACTTGGGGCTGGCCGAGTGGTGCGTTGTTTAAGACCTGGCTTGGGATGCCAGAGGGCCCCAGTTCGGATCCCACATATGAGGCCAGTGACACTGCCCTCTACAGCTGAGATGCTGAACAAGAGCTCAACCTGGAGCTGGGCTGCTGTGAGTCTCGTGAGTCTCGCCAGCAACGGCGTAGGCTGCAGCCCCTGCATGAGCGTCCAGCAGCCGCCGTGAGCAGCCATCCAGAAGCCAGCGACTGATCTGCCTCGCCCGGGAAGAGCGCAATGATGGTGCCAACTTGGGCCAGTGAAGCAACGTCCTCCACAACTAGACTGAAGAACAAAAGGACAGCAACTTGTCTGTTCCCCTTCCCCCAATTCCCCAGTGCTGTTCCCATCCCCCCAACACCCCAATAAAAAACTTAAAAAAAATAATAATAATAAACTTGGAGCAGAATTACCAGGATAGTGGGATAAATTTGAAAACATATCATATGGAAAATGGTGAAGTCTCTGGTAATGTTTATTCAGTGCTGTTGGTAAGTTTAAAAGTTAAATAATTGAGTTATACAGAATAAGGATTAGATTATGTTTCAGTGTAAAACAAACTATAAATTCCATTACAAAAATGCAGCCGTGTAAATTTTAAGTCGTCCTTCTTTAGCACTAACACAGAACTGAATGGAGGCATAGCATTAATGAAAATTCAAGGTAAGATAGGTTGAATTACATAGCCTCTAGGGTCTTTTCCAACTTGTAGCATCATACAGCTCTATAAGGCTAATAATTCACGCAGATATTAGTTAAGGAGATATTGTTATGCCCCTTAGGATTTTTATAGTTTAATAGACAATAGTGCCAAAAACCTAAAAAATATAGTTCTATGTTTGTTTGCTTTTTAAAAAATGGATGGTCAGGTCAAAAGGACACAGGAGCCAAACTTGGAAAGTTCCACTGGGAACTTTGGCTCCCAATGGCCAAAGCTGGAAGATAATTTGAGCAACAAATTAATAAGGATATTGGATTACAAACCAAAGAATAAAATATGCATGAGCCCATAATATAAATGACTGAATAATTAAATGGAGAAGGGAAAATCTTCCTTACAGAATTCCAATAAGCACATGGAAAAGAAATGATGGAACTAGAAGCCACTAGTGGAGTTTAATAACTGCTGCAGGAAATAATGGCACTCACAAATGAATGGCATTTTTAAATTCATGCCTATTTAGAAATTGCCATTATATCTCCTGACTTGAAATTTGGAGCAATTATAGAGTAACAATTGATTTTGTTCCAAGTAACAGTCATTGTATTTTTAAAAAAAAAACGTGTTTTGTTTTGTTTTACATTAAACTGTACAAATTTGTGAAATTGGAAAGTTTCCGTATTTAACACAACCATTCATGTAGGCGTTAAGGCCAAAAAATTAGGAGTTATTTTAGTTTCCTCCCCCATCCCGCATTCAGTACATCATTTTGTGAGCTGTATTTGCAGAGTATAGCCCAAGTCTGACTACTTCTCACCACTTCATTGGCTGTTTCCCTAATCTGAGCTACCTCTTGCCTGTAGTAGTTTCCAAACTATTCTTCCTGCTTCCAATTCCCTTCCAGTTTATTTTCAACATTAGCCCTAACCTTTAAAAAAAAAAAATAGATCCCTCTCATCTGTGTAAAACTCTCCAATGGCTTTGTCAAGTTTAGCGTAAAGTTTACTCATTACCTTGGTCTCTAAAGCCCTATATGATCTGACCCCTACATACTTCTCTGATCTCATTTGCCACCATCTCATCCTCCTTATTACTCCTTTCTAGCCCCAGTGGCTGTCTTGTTTTTCCTCAAACACACCACCCTCATTCATGCCTCAATATGTCATTACTTATACTGGGAGACCTCTTTCTCCACATCTTTGTACTGCTTACTCCTTCACATCAGTAAGGTCTGTGTCCATCAGTGACGTCACCTGAGTTAAGATCTATAGGGAAGCCCTTCTGAGGCAGGCTCTCCTGCCTTTCACCTGCTTAACTTTTTTCCTTCCATGGCATTTATTCATCATATGTATTTATTTACTCATTTATTATCCATTCTCCAACTTGAATGTAAGCACATGAGAAAAAGGACTTGTTTATAAACTACCCACAATACCTAAAACAATACCTACAACAAAGTGGACCCTCCAAGCTACTGAATAGTATTTTTTTTAAAAACTGAAGGGCGAAGAGTGGGGAAAACAGAACAAGGCCTGGATTAGAGCCGGATTTCTATCTCTGAAGTCTCTGCAAAAAAATGTAAGCCTTTTGAGATAAACTTTAAAATGAAGAAAAACAAAGGGATATTTTTAACTACTCTAATTGTACAAATTCAGTTGCTTAAAAAAACAAAACCCTTGAAAAATAAAAGTATAATATTGACGACTGAATTTTGAGAGATCTTGCAATAATCCTAAACCAAAGAGAAAAAAATTTATTGAAGTATACATTACTGGTTATTTAAAAATACACGGGAAAAGACAAACATACAAAGGCATTATCATACAACTGATTTCTAAAGTCAGTACTTTTGAAATACAGAACAATGATCATTACCCCACAAAAGTCAGTTTATTGAAACAAATTGATTTTTAAGTTGCTCTGTAACACTTTTCAATTTTGTTTACAAATGTTACTAATTTTTTCAGTTTTATCCCATATTAGAAGTTCGTTTGTTGGACATATTTCTCAAAATAGTATATAGTTATTTCTTGCAATTAATGTTAGCAACTACAAGATGCTTCTCTAAGTCATAAGAATTCAGTATGGTTGCTGCTTTGGAAGTAACTATCACATTGGGTTATCTACACTAAGACTCGTGTAATGAAAGGCAACATGTGGGGATTGAGAATAGGAAGGCTAAAAAAGACAAAGTTATCTTTTACTCCAGGACTGCTAAAAAATACTCCATTATTTACTCTGGTACTACTGCTAGAGAAGCAGTTTCTGCCAGACCACACGTTGGCTATATAGTTATCTATTTTATATTTCCTTTTCTAAAGAATGGCAGACTTTAACAATTAGATAGCTCAATCAAATAAGCAGAGACTTTTAAATTACCATATACTTTAACTGTGTAAAATAAATTATTTTAATTGGTTTAGCAGGCTTATGTCTGCAAAAGCAGCAAACCTACTTTGTTCCAAAATTAGGCGGCTGACTCAGAGGCTATTTCTAAGATGCCTGGCTATCTTCTATTATCAATCAGTCATAAAAGTGGACCTCCATAAACTCAGTAAGTTAATGACTTCATCTATCAACACACAATGTTGAGCTAGCAAAACGAAAAAAAGTAGACTCATAAGGTAGGGTTTGGCTTGTATAAAACAAGAGGGTATACATCCTCTTATATAACACAAGAGGAATATATATGGTATTAAAAATAATCTACTATAAACTCGTAAAGAGATGATTCTGGTTTACATGTAAGCCAGCTTAAACTGACCATGACTGAATGATTGGAATTTCTTTTTCTCCTAACATAATGCCCATTCAATATAAGCTAAGCTGGTCTTAGTTTCTTATAAATCTATTTCCTTGGATTTATCTACTAACCCCTCACTTTATAGCTTATAGTTTATAGCTTTAACTTATAAGCTGGGCCTGCCCAGCCTGCCTATTAAGCCTCTTTTCAGAAATATACCAGATGTATTAAACAGAGGCATCCTCTAGTAAAAATCTGCACTTCAAAATAGCATATGAAGAACCAGCAATTGGCTCTCCAATGTAAATACCCCTCATGTCACGCTATCACAGAAGCAGTGCAGTTTACTAACCATCCTTTCTTATAGGCAACTCAGTAGTTGTAAAAATTTTTCTTCAGTTTCAAAAATTTTCAATACTTATTAATTCCAAAGATCCGCACACCATGTAGCTGTGGCATTTTGGGAATTAGCACACTCATGAGAGAAGCTGTGTTTAAGATGAAGTGAGTTCGATCATACTTCGTATAGAAACTTGCCAGAAAATATCTGTAGAAATAAAAGTTAAGAATACATATAACATCTAAAAATAAAATTATGTGGAATTTTAAAAAAAATTTAAAAATAGAAAAGAGGCCACTGAAACATAAATACCTAAAAGAAGAATCATTTTTGAGCACACAAACAAGAGGAAACATTTGGTTTGGGTACCTAAATTAATTTTATTTTGGATTTAAATATTTGTTTAATGGAGGCATATGTGCACATTTTGCATTTCTGCAATTATGTCAAATGCATTTAATAGAATACATTTGCTACTTAGCATCCTTTAAAGCAGGCTTCCAAATTAGGGTTTATACACTCCCTGAAATTTTGGGTGCAGTTTTGTATTTATGGGTATGTTTCTGAAGAGAAGATCCAGATCCAAAGGATCCATCATATTCTCAAAGGATTTTGTGATCCACCAAAAGGCTAATAACCACTGCTGTCAAGTTATGGAACATGGGGTGTTAGTGCATTAATACAGTTAGTATCTTTGAAAGAAAACAAATACGTGATTGCCCTTTTGATGGTTTCAGTTCCATACTGTGGGTGAACATGTCTATAACCAGTTTAACTGGAAACTTTAAAGACACTGTTGTAAAATTCCAGCTGTTTTGCTATAACTAAGCATATATACATATTCAAAGACACCCAACATCTGAGAATTTGTTTTAACAAGCCTAAGCCACCTGTAAGACCATTAATCACCAAGTCACAATGTCTTTTACTCAAGGATACATAGTACAGATATATTACCTGGTCCCTACTAGAATACCCTAGTATAGATAGGATGTAAAGAATAAAACACCATACCTTACTTTATCATAACTAAGAAGTCATTTTGCATATGGGTGTTTGTCTAATTAGTGATTTTAGGGTACATAGGAAAGTATTCTTACAGCTTTTCTGCCAATTACCGTTATTAGTTCTCATAAGGGGAGATAAGTGGTTAGATATGGTTAGAAAAGAAAAGCTATTTTCAAGTATGACTAAAAATATTAGAGCTGTATACATCATTTTCAGAACCGTCTAAATTGAGACATTCTATAATCTTTCACCTACTTTACAAATTATATAGTCAGAAAATTCTTTCTTGAGAATGATCCATATTCCTCAGTCTTTAAACCCTTTCTTCCTGCTTTCATATACTTGAAGACGGTTTTTATACTCTGTTTACTGAACAAAATAGGATACCACTTGCATTTAGTAAGCTCATTTCATTTCCCATCATCATTATGGGTTTAATCTATAATCTGGTATGTTGGCAATAAAAAATCTTGGAATGGCTTCTCCTTATCATACTGTAGCATATGTTCCCTTTATGTCTTTTAATGAAGACTAATTGTAAGTGCAGATTTTATGAAAATTACTTGACTCTTAAGAAAACCTAGACAACCCTCTAAGGAAATGCGAAACCAGGTGGGAATCAGTATGATAGCGTTCGTTTGCTAAAGGATATACTGGAAAGAGACCTGTATTAGAAGCTAGAAATTTAGCGTTTAATCTGGGCTCTTGACTCCAACTAGCTGCAAGATTTGGAGCAAGGTAGTACATTTGAGACTGTTTGTTTATCTAAAAATCTGGGATAACATTGCACATCCCACCTATCTGACAAACGATCAAATAAGAAAATATGAAAGCACTCTGAAAAGTATCAATGCTTTATACATGGCTTTAATGCTGTTTCTTCAGTTATATAAGAAAATTAATCATAGAACATTTGAAATCATAGCTGTGAGTCAAAAATATGTTTTAAGAAATATGGATGTTGTACACAGGTACATCTCAGTTGATCTTTTTTGTGACAGCTCTTATTGAAAATTCAGTATATGTTAGTTTTTACATGTATTATAATGCAATCCTCAACATTTTATAGATGAGGAAACAGGTTTTCACGAAAATGGCCAAAAGTCACAAAGCTAGAAAGCAGTATAGTTGAAATCCAAATTTAGGACTGTTTGAATAACTATTATTCTTATTATTTCCTTTATTGTTGTTAGACCATATAAATCATTTTTCTTTTGACATTAATTTTATATGGGGCTAAAACAATATAAAAATTTAAAAATTTCCTCAAAGTTCTATAAAGAAAAAAATAACCTAACTCTTTATGATCAGTTTATACTTTTCATTTGAAAATGCCTTCCCTTACTTGCACATCTATCCAAAACCTGCCCTCCTTTAACTCACAGTTTAAAGAATTCTAACACCTCCAGGAAGTCTTTCTAACTACTCCAGACTCCACTGATTCTATTGTGGGTATATTATTATGAATAAGCTATACATAATAGTGTTTGATTAAGATATATGTGAAACATCTATTACCTGTTAGCAACTGTACTGAGTGCGGAATTCAAAGCAATCTATGCACTTAACAATTTTTGCAGAAATAAAACACTTGTAATAACAGAAATAATACAAAGCGGCATAAATAAGGGATATATAACTACTATGGGAGTTCAAAGCAGAGCATTATCACTGCAGGTTGGGTGCTCAGGAAAAGACTTCACTGAAGAGATACAATTTTAATATTAAAAGAAGAGTCAGACATAAATTAAGAAAGGAGAAGGCATTTCAGGTGGGATAAGTGATTTAAACCAAGGCATAGAAAGAGGACTACACATGAAGTATTCAAGAAATGCTGCTTAGAAGAACTTGAAAAAGTAGGAGTTGGGTAGGGGTTAAATATGAACATCAAGAAAAATGGAGGTGGGAACATTTTGTGCAGAGCCCTCAATATCAGGTAATAGGAAGAAATTGGATACCAGATACAAGGTTAGATGATTTACAGATAGATGTTATCTAATTTATTTCTTACAACATCAGATTGAGTTAGGTGTCACTGGTCAGAATTTCATTTATGAGCAAACCAAGCTGGCTGAGTGATAGAGGATTCCACCCAGGTCTGTCCTATAATGAAAGCCTAACCTCTGTTTTCTCTAAACCATACTGTCTCCCACAGAGTTTGAATATCCAAATGAGGCAGGTGGTTAATGAAATGTGTCTGATATCCTCGAAATCCTTCTTTAGGGAAGATTAATCTGATAGTAGAATATAAATAAGATTATGTGTTTATTCTTCTTATAAGCGACTTAGAAATGAACTAAAATACATTTGACTTGTATACCCTGGAATGTCTACGCATACATATGAGCATGTAATGTCTCCATACGTTATTGACTGAAGTGAAAACTAGTTTATTATCTGCTTGTTAAAGATTTTACTTGCATTTTATACTGAGGTAGGTGTTTATTGATAGAGGTTTTCAACAAAATATTGTTTCTAATTCAAAGTCACTCTAATAAAAGGATAGCTTCCTGTAATCCAATCCCCCTCATACCTAAAAGTTCCCACCACTTACAGAATTATTGGAGAAATTGTGAAAAACTTCCGTGAAGATGTAAACTGTACTCCATAATCTAGTTGTTCCCAATGAGTTAGGAGCCTTGCTCTACCCTGGTCAGGAGTTTCAAAAGGTGTTCCTTTTACTGCATGTAAAAATACATACATCCCCTGGAAAACAAACAAGAAGGTATATAATCAGTATCAAATACAAAATTGGTATTTGTCGGTAAGCATAAGATAGTTCCAGAGTATTTGTGACAGAGTATAATTTACCTTAACAGCTCAAGTTTTAAGCTTTCATATTATTGTGAAAGGCTGTGGCCAGTTTCTTCGTAGTAAAATAAAGCTTCCAGGGACATATAAATATTATCTGGTGAAAATCAGTAAAAAGTAACCTGCTTTCATCTCTTATTAAATTAAAAGTAAACAAAAAGTAACATCAGGGTAGCTTTACATTATTGCATTTAGACTTCCTAACAACTTTCCAATTAGGAAATAGGGCTACCTTTTCCCCAATGTGTAGGAAAGTTCAGAGTGTTACATTAGTAAATCTGATGATACTTAAAAATGATAAAAACATATAAATTGGTAAATCATAAACAAAATCTCTGTATCGGGAAATGGTTTTGAAAATATTTAATAGTAAGACTGTCTTTGTTCCAAGAATTCTCTTCCAAAGCAACAAAGATGGTTTGATGTAATAGGTATAATATTCAACTCAATTTGCTTTTGAATTCACAAATGTGCCTTAATAGTGTTTCTTTTGAAGTTAGTTTTTAAAAATCAAAGAAATATCACTAAAAACGAATCTGTCCAGTGATATGTTTAAACATTTCATTTTGTGGTTAATAAGTAAAAAAACTATGTATACTAGATTTTGTTTCTTTGAGATTATGATATCCATTTAGATTGACAGGTAGTGCTTCATTGCAAGATCACTGTCTGAGGAAACAGTAACAGAATAAAGCCTAAATATTATCATGAAACAGAAGTCATGATGCCGTATCATTTTTTAAAAATAAATATATTGAAAAAATAGAAAAATTAGTGATCTGAAATTTTAGAAGATGTTTGGCTGCAATAACACCTGAGCTGTAGAGGAATGGACTCATGCTCAATTGGATTTAACTCAACAAACGTTTAATGAAGTGGTTTAATGTACAAGACACAGGGTATGTACGCATATATGAAACTGAACAGGACACTTAGCCTTTAAAAACTATCACTAGGTTTCTACATATGGTTCAGAAAGACAAAGACAGTATTTTTTCTAACTAGGGATAACAACTAGATCTATTTTCCCATATTTAAAAGCATTTAGCATGTATTTCACATTTTTAATTGGTTTAATGTAGGCTACCTTCAAAAGAAACTTAAATTTGGAGTCATATAATTACTTCTTTTGAAGCATTCTGGTTAATATATTATAGTAGCCTGAATTACAGTGTCTTGTAATTTTTGCTACAGCTATAGCTGGTTAGTTAGGTTTTTAGTGTGATGAACTACAATAGTAAGTCAGAAGTTTGTTTCCCTACATGTTGCCAATTACCTATCCTTTGTCTGTTGTCATATAGTGTGCCTCAATCTCAGTCAACCAAATTGAAAACATGAGGGGCAGAGATGACTTCTGAAGTATATTTAATACATGTGCCACTGGAGAAGGAAAAGTTACATGACAATACAGACTAATTTATTCAGCAAACATTTAAATAGGTCTTTGGAGATACAGAAATTAAAAATACAGAGATAAACTACTAATTATAAAACTATCATAAATACATGATAAAAGAATGCAGCATGTTAATATTTGAGTACAGTTTTCCCGGACAAGTAGGAATCAAGTCAGGCAGAGCAAGAAAAAGAGAGGGATATTAAAATGGTGGAAGAAGAGCCTAAGGCAAAGCAAAAAGGTGAGAGCAAGGCGATTTTCATTATTGTTACAGCATAACTTGTATTTGGTGATGGGCTGAGATAAGCTTGAGTCCCTTTCTTGCCCTCTGCACAGTTAGCAACTGGTCTTGTATGTATCCCACACAAGGAACTTGGCATTTTGCTATGAATGTAACAGGGGGTCATTGAAGGACTTAAAGAATGTGTCTTCAGCAGACATGCACTTTAAAACTATCACTCTACCAACACGGGATGGAGGAGAGTAGAGTAGAGGAACATCAAGGAGACCATTTATCTGCTGGAGTAATCCACCTAAGAAAAATAAGTGTATGAATTACAGCAATGACAGTGGGGAACAAGTTGAGAGACAGTAAAGCAGGGCTTTGACTACATAGATATAAAATATAAAGGAAAAGGAGTTACCCTAAGACTAGAGAGACCATTATGCAAGTTTGCATGGATGGTCCTGATTTGCACCTATTCTCTTAAAGTAGTTATTACTAGAGCTCCCCTTTACTCTCAACACGGTCTCAGTTTGGATGATACACATTTCCTTTGACATTCAGCTATCTGGCCTGGCTTACAGAACAGACAATGGTGCCTTTAGATTAGATTAGGAACAAAGAAGAATAGACTGTAGGTATAAGGAATAGATCAGGAATGAGTACAATTTATACCTGCTTGGTTTAAGGTACAAGGTGATCTGGCAATATTAATATGTAAAACATCATTTTACGGGTAAAACTGAAAATATGGAAAGATAAAGTAACTTAGAATATATAGTATAAGAAGACATGAAGAATAGAACCTTAGGAAAAGAGAAGGAACACAGTGCAAGAAGAAATACAAAAGGAAAGATAAGAAATATGTCTAGGAAAAAGCAATCCCCTGAAAACCAAAGGAAAAGAATTCCAATAAAAGAGATATGATTAATGTCAACTACTTAGAGAAGTCACTATTTAAAAACAGTGTTTGCTATACCAAAGTCTATCACAGAAAATGCACTAAATGCACATCCTCTTATTTCTACTACCACCATCATCCTTGTCCTCCTCCAGTCAACTTCAAATACTCTCCAGAAGAAATAAAATAATATTAATTTTAAAAATACATTTTTCCTACATTTTTCTGTCTTAATTCTAAGTTCTTAATTTTTTGGATATCTCTAAAATATATAGTTAATTTGGATTCAACTGAAAGTCAATTAACTGGATTTCTCCCCGATTCATTCTACTTTAATAGGTGTTAAAGACAAGAAAAATCACTATTGGATTTTTTTTTTAAACAGGCAATTTCCAAAGTTGCATGATATGGTTACTAGAAGTGTTCAAACCTCTGATCATTTGTAGAGCTATCATGTAATACAGAAGAGTGATAGTCAACATGAAGAAGCTAAGGCACCATAAGAATCATATAAAATATGATTAAGCTCAAAATTTCTATACTGAAGCAGGAAAGTATACTTATACCATTTAGAAACTTAACAAGGATTGAAACCAAAAATGTTCATTAGACTCCAGTTGACCAAAAAACATAATTACTTCTTCTCAAACATTCTGGTTAATATATTATAGTAGCCTGAATTATAGTGACTTGTAATTTTTGCTAAAATGGCCTACTATTTTTTAGATTCTATAAAACCAATAGGAGAAAAGTGTTAGAAAAATGGCCCAATGTTTAGATATAAATATAGAAAAATACAAACCTATTTCAGATTAAAATTCTTCAAAATTGTCATATATACTAATGATCACAAACATTTTATTTAATTTTTTATTAAATTTATTGGGGTGACATTGGTTGATAAAATTATATAAGTTTAAAGTGTAAATGGGTGAATTTTATATTGTGAGTTATAGCTCATATAACTTAAAAAAACTAAGTCATGCTTTTCTTCCTTATAAAAAAACTTTAAGCTTTTAAAAAAAACTATTTAAATATACTTAACATAAAATGTACATTAACCATTTTTAAGTGTACAGTGATATAAAGTACATTCACATTGTTATACAACCATCACAACCATCCATCTCCAGAACTCTGCATCTTGCAAAACTGAAACTGTAACCATTAAATAATAACTCCCCATTCTTTCCTCCCCCGGTCCCTAACAACCATTAAACCTTAAGCTTTCAAATGTTTAGTATAAGGTGAAATTCTTACCAGATTATGTATAACATTTGTTAAGGTCCAAGCAACAGGAACACTGAAGAAGGGAATACTGAGTAAGACAATATGAAGTAAGCCAACTCCCAATGCATATGTCAGCCACATACCCCGGCTGTTCATTACACGGGTATTTGGATTCACCTCGCTGTGGGCAACTCCAACATTCATGTTTGCTCTGTAGGAAAGCAATGGAATGAATCAACACTGACATAACTGGAAACCTAAATACTCTTAATTCTGACATGACAAAATAAGTGTGTTAGCTAGGATTATTTCTTCCTAGTTGCTCTGAAATAGAACAAACACCCCCACCCACACTCACACAGAGCCCACCCTGACAATTTGCTACTTGCAGATGCTGACAAAGGCAGTACAGAACTCTTAACATCTGACTTTATGGTAAGACAAGACTTATTTTTTAAGGTTTTTGGTTGCAAAATAAACGGTTAAAATCCCTTTCTTAAAGCTTGTCTTTCAGCACATTGGTTTTACTCAATGAAATAATGGGCAGGAAAACTCAAAGAAAAAAACTACATTTTCTTGTAAGAGCAAAGTGAAAACTCAGAGGCTAAATGCACTAATAGAACAAATTAATATAAAGAAAGCAAAGCTGACCCAGCCAGTCTGTTGTGAGTAGCCAGACTCTTATACCTAATACCCAATGTAATGTTGTATCCATAAAGAGTGGTCACAGTTCAAATCATTCCTTTTTGAACACTGACAACCTGGGAGAAACACAGGTGGTGGAAAATTTAAATGGTCAAGGGATAAGGTTTGTTTCTCAATTTCATGACACAATTAGGTTAAAACAATGGGTCTTTCTTCTGCATATTTTAACTCTAGTCAATTCCCCTAAAACTTTAGTTTTTTCCTATCTTTCTTTTAAAAGTTGTTCCCTTTCCCTTTTGTATTCAAGATGAACACCAAAAGAAGAAATGATAATAGCTCCCAGTTGTTTTAATGATATTTGCTTGGGTATAACTATCCCTTAAACAAAAAAACTGTCCTGAAGAATACCTATCATCCCGGTAAAAACCGAAAAGTGAGACTGGAGGGAGGACAGAGGGTCAGACTGTATTTGGAACAGCTCTGATTTAAAAAAATATGTGAACTACTACAGCGTTGGGGCTGAGAAAAGAATTTCTCATAACCCCATCCAACAAGTGTTTCCGTAGTACAATGTCCCCTTCTCCCTCCAAAAGTCTATGGAACGCATCAAGGCATCAAGGCTTATGGTGACGAAAACTGGTTACACCAAAACGACGCAAAAGTCTCAAATTTACGTGTGTAAATATTTTTTCTAATCTGAACACCCACATATTACTTTTAGCATATAAAAATAATGTGTATCATATCATACATTTTTATATGCTATAGTCAGAACATACCAGCTCTCAAGACACTTTCCCACTTCCCATACATAGGACGGGAAAAATATGCTCTAAAGAGGCTTAAAATTTACATCTGAGCCGGAAGGCAAAGCTGGTGTGCTACTACTGACCCTACTGCTGTTCAGAAAACCTTTCCAGGGAGTCTCCCGAGACTGGCAAACAATGACTTCAGGCAGCGAAGAGTCTCTCGCCTCTGACCCCGCGGATGCCTTGAGGGTGGCGACTCGCAGCGACCCACCAGATGGCTGGAGCTCCCGGACCGTGGAAGCTCAGCAAAAGCCGCTGCCTCTACCGCCGCAGCACCTCCCCTCTCACCCCCTTCCTTCTCGGAGCTGCACATCCTATCAGGGCAGGGGCACGACAAAGATTGGGGGAGCAAGCCTCGGGGGCCACTTGGCTGGCACCGCCGGACAGGGAGCTGCGGACAAAGCCAGAGCCCACTTTTCCCACTTTGGCTGACCCAGGCCAGCCAGCAGCTTCCTACCGCCGCAGGCAGCAGCACAACCCCTGGGGCGGTTCGTGCCCACTCACCCGCCGCCACACTCCCGGCGGCCGGCTCAGAGGAGGAGGATCCGCTTCGCAGCGACTGCGTCTCCTCAAGGCCGAACGCCAGTGGTCAAACTCAGCACAGCGCAGCGCAGCTTGCGGAAGTTTTCAGAGCCGAACGCCCTGCAAGCGGATTGGCTGCGTGCAGCGCCAATCCCACGTTCCCCGGGCGAGGCGGGACTAAGTGCCGCAAGCCTTCTTCCCGCCCCGCCGCGCGCGTGCGCGCTGGGAGCAAATCGGGCATCCGAAAGGCCAGTCCTGGGCTGCGGGCGGGATCCTGGCTGGTCGGCTAGTGGATGGTAATTGCCCACCTCGCGCGAGCAAGAAGGTAGTGTCGTGTGGCTAACGGGCATTCGTTCTTATATTCTGGTAGGCTCGGGACCCCCTCCCTTCAACTCGTCCAGGTCGGTACGAGAGCGCCGCTGGCCTCCATGGACGCCCCTCCCCCAACCTTCCACCGCCTCCACGGGGCGGGAAGCGGACGAAGCCGGGTCCGCGCGCTAGCGTAGGTGGAGAGCGGTCTCCTAGCTGGTCTGGCCTCGTTAAGCGTCTGGTTTGGCCATTCCTGACTAAGTCGGTATCTCGGCCTTTGTTGCAGCCAATTTCCCAGATCCTTCTAGGTGCAAGACTTATTAAAGTTGTTTGCCAAGATAAACTCCAGCCCCTGGCAGCCTTAACTCAATTTGTCTCGTGAATGAGTGTGGCGTTTTATAGTATTATATGTTGTGGCATCATACAGGCAGTGCAAGCAAACTCTTTTTCAGTTAACAGTGATTTTTTACTGGTGTCCTTCTGGGTTTCTTCACACGCTGAATGAAGTCAGGCACCTGTATTACATGCGGAGGATATATGGATCCCAAAAATTGATTTTTTTTTTTGAGAACCGAGAGGAAAAGTCAGATTATTTGGAGTCATAGTTGAAATTGAATTACATTACTTGGCACCACACAAAGTTTGTGATTTGTATTGCTGAAATGACTTTCAACATTTCAAAATTGGTTTGAGAGAATGTTGACTATATATATATTGCATTTCTGTTGGCTCTATGAAACAGTTGAGTTAGATTTATTATAGTCTTTAAATAAATTATTTCATGGTGTTTTCCCTAAAGTCTGTGAGTTCTCTGATCTATGCTTATTTTTAGGAACACTACTGTTGACTTTTCTGGTCATCAGCGCTCTTTCAGTAGTGTTTGATTTCCCTCTCAGCAAATATGGCATTGATACCCAACATTCTCAGATATTCTATACTGTAATTTGTAAGCCTGATACCTACCCTTCTGCTTTTCAAAAGTTGCCATTTGGTACGCATACAATAGAATGCTTGCTGTGTTCCAGAGGTTATGCTAGGGATATGAGATTCATATAAAATCTCTTTCTTCAAAGAACTCTGAGCAGAAGGAAGGGACAGAAAAACAATAATTAAGATAATCTGTCGTGAGTTTTGGGTTAGAAATAAGGAGAAGGTGCTGTGGGAGTAGAGGAAGGAACGCTTAATCTTTTGGAACAGGGGTGGAGCTGGTAAATAAGGTTTCCTTGCGGAGGTGATACTTGAACTAAATCTGGAAGGATGTTTAGAAGTCATCTCTAGTGAAAGGGAACTTTGTGAGCTAAGGAAGAGTGAGTGCTACCACGTTGAGAGAGAGAGAGAGAGAAGTAGTATAGTATGACTGTCCTAGTATGCATTTGGAGAATAGTGGGATGGGATTAGAAAGATAAGAGGTCTGTTGTTAAGGAGTTTGGACTTGATCTGGTTAGTAAGTGGAAATCTTTATAAAATTTTAAGTAGGGTAGTAACATGATGAAATTTGAATTACAGAAAGAACCCTACAGGTGTTTGAGATTTGAGGCAAAATATCTGTTAGGTGCGTATTGCAAAGTTGAGGGGAGAAATGTTGAGGGAGCTGAAATGAGGTAGTAGCTCTAGGAGAGGACTAGTTTGAGAAATAATTAGGTAGTAGGATAGATAGGACTGGCAGGATGTAGAGAGTGAGGAGAATTTCTAGGATGACTTCAAGATTTTTAATTTTGCCTTGTGAGACTGGAAGAGCATGGCCTTTGGAGTCAAGCATGCCAAAGTGTGCAGGTATGAGGTCTGATGACAATTAAGTTTGCAAACTTGTTGCAGCAATGTTGCTAGCCTTTTTTGATATCAGGGATTATTCATTACTAATTTGTACCAACTGGACAAACAGTTAACCAAGTTTTCTATTTGGAAGTGCTGAAAAGGCTGCGTGAAAAAGTTAGATGAAAACGACCTGAACTTTTCGCCAACAGTTCATGGCTCTTGCACCACGACAATGAAGCTCACACAACACTGTCTGTGAGCAAGTTTTTAGTCAGTAAACAAATAACTGTATTGGAACACCCTCCCTACACACCTGATCTGGCCCCCAATGACTTCTTTCTTTACCCGAAGAGAAAGGAAATATTGAAAGGAAGACATTTTGATGACATTCAGGACATCAAGGGTAATACGATGACAGCTCTGATGGCCATTCTAGAATAAGAGTTCCTCAATTAGTTTGAAGGGTAGACTATGCGCTGGCGTCGGTGCATAGCTTCCCAAGGGGAGTACTTCAAAGGTGACCATAGTGATATTCAGCAGTGAGGTATGTAGCACTTTTTCTAGGATGAGTTTGCGAACTTAATTGTCTGACATCGTATGCATCTGTCACCAGTTGTGTGTGATCTTAAATAAGTTATCAAGCTTTTAAATCCCATTTGTGATAGAATGATAATATATATAGGGTTGTTAGGAGTAAATGGGATACTATATATACGATATATATATAAAGTTGCTTATGTGAGCTATTTTTATTATCAAAAAGAAATATAGGATGAAAGTTAATTAGAGAAAGATTCCGAGATCACCATGGGACATGTTAAGTTTAGGGTACCTCCAAGTTATCTCAGTGATGATATTTAGAAGGTGGTTGGAAATAAGACCCTGCCCTGTAGTTCAGAAAAAAAATTTGGTTAGGAGATAGAGATGAGGTGAGGGATGATATGGAGGCGAGCTAAGAGTATATAAAGGGAAGGAGTTAAGGCAGTGGTAACTTGCTAGGAAGGACACTCTTCCTAATGTTTACGTTGACATGAGGAAGATGCTGATAAAATTATTTTTCATGGCTCTTCATAAGCATTCATGAAGTGCTTGCCGTGAGTGAAGTACTCTGATTATGCTGTGCTGCATCCAGAAATAATTCCTTGCATTCAAAAGTTGTATAGGAGAGGACGGGTGTGATAAGCATCCAGTGAGTGATGCAAGATGAGTTCTTTAGGAATGTAGGGGAGGGAGGGATCATTCCTAGTTGGGTGATCAGAAAGGACCATGTTACAGATGTTACTGGAACTGTGTCTAAAATGACAAGATTGCATTGGGAGGAAGAGGAAAGCAAATAGGGTGAGGTTTCTGGCAAAGGAAGATTGAGATTTTTGACTTTGGTCACTAAGATCAGTGTGTTATTTACGAGAAATAGCAAAGTTAAGTGGAAGGCATTGACAGGGGAGCAGGAAGTAAGTTCTGTTTTAGAAATATTTATTTTGAGGTCGCAATGACACTGATTTTTAGGAATGCCTGTCTTGGGAAGAGAGATCACTATTGGGGATACAGATTTAGATATTCTTCTGTAAGTTTTAAGCTTCAGGTTTTACGATATCTAAGAAGAGAGAGTGATTGGGGAATGCCCACATTTCTGGGAGGAGAGTGAAGAAAACATGAGGCGATCGAAGAAGTATACGTGGAAAGATCTTTGAGAATTAGGAGTATCATCAAGGTTATGTACTTTGGGGATGTCAAGGAACATGAGTCCTAAGAAAAGGATGTGATGATTTAAGAAATCATTGGTGAACTTGAAGAGAGCAGGATCATGGCAGTGGTTGTGGTATAAGCCATTTTGCAAGGTTTTTAGAAGTGAGTTGGCGACTGAATATAGGTAAGTTATTCAAGTTTTGGCTTCAAGATAATTATTGGGGTAAAAGGGTTGAGGGAAGAATTTTTTTGGTTTTTTTTTTTTTTTTTTTTGCTTTCCAGGCCAAGGAAGGTGCCTGTGGGGGGTGAGGGTGGGGACTGGATAAAGAAACTAGGTTTAAGTGTTAGCTTAGGATGGAGACTTTGAGCCAGGACTGAGGGAAGAGGAGTATGGCTAGCAGTGCAGACTTGAAGAAACCAGGGGACACGATGGGGTGGAGGAGGTAAGGAGTGTGTGAAGATGGAGTTCATGCTACGGCTGCCATGATCTCAGTAAACTAGAAGAATGATGAAGATTGGGAAGAAATTAGGGACTTGTCTTGGGTGAGGGTGGGGATTTAAAGAGGGGGTATAGAGAATGAGACAAAGATGGTGAGATTAAGGAGGAGATTGCTCAGAAAAGCATGAAGGTTGCTGTGAGGCTAGGTTTTTACCCCAAAGCTTGATTAATCAGTAATTTTCTTAGATCCTTGGGATTCTTAAACTAAGGTAAAAGTAGAAGTCTTCTTGAACATAATAAGTTTAACCTGATACCAGGCCATGTGTCAGCCCCTTTTGGGGTAGGGGTTAGAAATGGTGGGGAAGTTATTCATTTCAAGTTTGGAGGAACTCATTTAGTTCAAGTATCCTGGGATCTTTTAGCATATATACCAAACACTGTAACTATCAGATTTACTTCTTAACCACAACCATATGATATCATTATCTCCATTTTGTAGATTAGATGAGTTTTAGAGTTTAATTTTCTCAGTATTATATAGCTGTTAATGTAAGGGCTGGGATAGAACTAAAAGCAGTGTGATTTCAGAGCCTGCTCTTTTAACTGCTACTCTATCCAGCGCTGTCCAATCGAACTACAATGTAAGTAAGCCACATATATAATTTAAAATTTTCTACTAGTCACATTAAAAAGTTAAAAAAATTAATTTTAATAATGTTTTAAGTAACCCAGTATACCCAGAATATCATTTTATTCTGTAATCAGTGTAAAAAATAATAAGCTTTTATATTTTTTTCATACTGAATTTGAAATCCAGAGTGTGTTAACATGGAGTAGCCACATTTAAGTGCTCCTGTGGTTAGTGGCTACCATATTAGACAATACAGCTCTGTACCCTTAGACCTGAGTCCAGTCTGAAGCTGGGGGAGAGTGCAGAAGCTGCCTTTTACTTGTGACAGCACTAATTTGTATGAATATTAAGATAATGAAGCAGCCTGACTGTCCGCTGTTTTCCTGACTTACTGGGAAAGCCTCCCAAGTCTTGAGTGCCACAAAAGAAACCATTGAGAGGTACCATATTTTGCCGTGTATAATGTGCTGCTATTTATAATGTGCACTTGTGTTTTTGGCCCAAACTTTCAAGGGAAAAAATCTTTCATTTTAATTTTTTAATTCAAACTTTGTTTACATTTAGGTACTTGTTTTTTGTAATATAAAGGAATTTTAGCCTTTATTTTTTGACATATTGTATAAGAAATTTCATGTAACAAATAATTACAAAACACAAGAACAGATACAAGGTACAAGAAATTTTAAGTACTGGTGACAAATTTACGATATTTACACATCATACAAGACCAAGAACTCCTCGTCATTGCAAGTTTGTCATAAGTTCAACAAAACCAATTATCATATTCCAGGGCATTATTTTGCATATGGATATCATTACTGATTTCTGGAGTTACACTTTTAACTCATAAGCATAAATAAAAGAATTAAAAACATTTATATAGATGCAGAATTAGTACTACCCATGTATAATGTGCATCCTTATTTTTTCTTCACAAATTTGGGCAAAAAATGATTACACACGGCAAAATATGGTAGTTGTTCACAGCTATTCTCTTTAAAACTGGGTACCCATCAAGCTAAATCAAATATATAATTAGAAGGTAATTGTTAGAATTAAAGAATTCCCAGCATTTCTTTACATAGTCACCATCATCGTAATAATAACGTACCTTTTATACAGCCTCGTTATTTACAGAACATTTTATATATGCTTTATTATTTGATCCTCACAACAAGTCAGTAAGGCATTATCTCCATTTACACAGGATGAATTGATTTTACAGAGGGATTTAAGTGATTTGCTTCAGTTTACATGTAATCAAGATGAACCCCCAAACTTGTTTTTTTTGAACTCCAGTCTGGTATATTTTTCCACTATGCTAATCGGTTTTGTCTTGGACAAAGTAAAATATCTTTATATTTATTAATTGTGACTGGTTAACACCACTCAGAACTCAATATGTTGGCCTCTTCCCAGAAATGTATCCTTTCAAGTCCTATGTAATTGCTATAATGGTTGTACTTCATTTCTTGCTCAGTTATTGACTCTTACTTTATGTGACTCTGCTTGTCTTACGTTATCTGGGAAAGAATCTTAAAAGAACGCCTTTTAATTTTGTTTGTTTTTGGCATTGCTGTTTTGTTTGGATCTAGACTCCATAGGATCAAATCATCATCATGTGAGCATGTAACTAGCCCTGGTAAATTAAGGATGTACCTAGGTTTCCCCCCACCCTGTTTTTTGTCAAAGAAAATCTCGACTCTGTAGAGGAATTGCATGTTGTCAAGCTAGTATTTTTTGTTTTTCTGAAATCTTTTTTGAAATTAGGCATTAACACAGATGTAAACCTCACTCCTTGGATATTTTACATACATGATTTCCATTGAGAGTTTTTTGTTTAAAAGTTTCATAGCTAAAACAGTTACTGGCAGAGAGATTTTGGATGTACAGGTTGGATTGGCATATAAAGAACTTTTTGAATGCCAGCAGAGAGATTTGAACCTTATCCGATTTTGGCTTTGGGGAGCCACATGATTAGAATAATGTTTTAGGCAGAATGGTGTAGAGGATAGTTACCTGATATGTCTGGGATCTGACTAGTTCAGATTAACAGTAACTCTAGGGTCTGGATATCCTAATTCCAAAAGAGCTCAGTAATTGAAAAGGACATAGTAACTCATCAAAACGAATGGATGACTAATGATGTTTAAGTGAGACTGCCTTTAAGGCATGTGACTGATATCGCATCCTAAGTGACAATACCACCTGGTCATTCCTTGCCAGGCAGATCACATATTACACTCATTATAGCACAGTTATGCTTATCTTCAGTTATTACCATAGCATGATTTACCAACTAACTTCTGTCTGCTTTAGTCTTATAAAATGGAGATGATAGACACATCTATTTTAGAGTATATTTTTAAGAAATAAATCATTTAATGCCGTATGTGCTTACATTAGAGCCTGACACGCAGTGAGGCTCTGTAGATACAAGCTGCTGTTATTATTGGTGTTGCTGTTAGTTTTGTTAGTCAGGAATGTTTAGCAGTTTTTATTTTTCCAACTTATATCTTTTATCTTCTAGCTACTCTGTTAAAAACTAGAATGAAACAGTTGCCTGCAGCAACAGTTCGCCTCCTTTCAAGTTCCCAGATAATCACTTCAGTGGTCAGTGTTGTAAAAGAGCTCATTGAAAACTCCTTGGATGCCGGTGCCACAAGCATAGATGTTAAACTGGTGAGTGTCCCTGGGAAGCCAAGTACCTGTAAAGCAAAAAAGGGCTAGACATATATTTCCTCCTTACAACTATTACATATTTTTTTCTTTATATGTAGCAGTAAATTACTCTTAGGAAATTGGACCCTTTTTCTTGTTTAAAAGTAAATTCTTAAAAATAAATTTTAATTTAAATCAACATTAGTTGATTACTTTAAATCAACATTAGTAACACTAAAATTATAAAAGAAAATTCATTTCATTGCCTAAAACATTTAATTTGTATTTTCTACTAATATTTATCCTTGGTTATTGATATATACCTATTTATATGTTCTCATTTGCATTTATTTTTTTCTACCTAATCTTATTTCAAAACTGTTGCCTTTGTTGCTTCATAGTTTCACATTTTTAAATTTAAGTGCTGCATATTAAATCATTTGAGTTGACATGACATGCCACTCATGATTTATTGCAGTTATTTTGCATGTCTACCTCCACTATTATAAATTACTAGCTCATAGAGGTAAGGTCTGTATATTTTTTTTTAATTTTTGTGTCCACCATACCTGGCCAGTATCTGCTACATAAATGATGAATAAATGGTATATAAATGATAAATAAACAGTGAATAAATTTGTTTGAGTGAATGTAAAAATACATTTTTGTAATTTCCTAATTATCAGATATTCACATTATTTCTAGCATTACAGTATTAGAAATAATGATACAAATACTTTTGTAGAAAAGAGGCCTACCCTTTTCATATATGTATTGATGTATTATATATATGTAAAATACAGTTACTCCTTATAAAAAAGATCTGTGAATTAGCTACTTCTATACCCACTTTACAGATAATTAAGGTTCTGAGAACTTGCCCAAAGTCATGTAATTCAAAAGAAGGGGAGCCGAGGTTGGAATTCAGGGCTTTCTGACTCTGAAACCAATTCAAGATCTTTCCTCTATGCCAGGGGTTCTCAGTGTTTGGGCACATCATAATAATTTATGAAGTTTGTTAAAACAGCTAATGGGCCCCAGAATTTCAGATTCTAGGTGGGGCCCAAGAATTTGCATTTCTAACAGATTTCTGGTTGATGCTGAGAACTATTCTGTACCATATCAAACCTGCATTTTGTTTTTAAATATATGCTTTATAAACATGAAAAAAAAATTATTAAAGCTAAAGGAAGATAATTTATTTTTCTTAGATATTTTATATATTCATTTTAGTCTGCTTAGAATATAATTTATAGTAATTAAATAGGATTAGATAAGTATATCTGACATATTTAAGAACCTTACTCAGACATACATTTCATTCTTAAAGTTCTCTGGAAGATAAAACATAGTTTTTAAAATGGTGTTACAAAGCCAACATAAGTCCTCTTATAAAAGTGAATTAAAGTATACATTTTTATTTGGTTACGTATTTTAGTCCCTTGACATTTATCAGTTTCTCTTTCTCTGCTTTGTCAAGTTTTAAAATAAACAACTGTGTTGCTCTGTATAAAGGCCTGTTTTATTAATATTATGGTTTCATACAATAATAACTATCCTGGCTAGGAATGTTTTCATAATTAGTTAATTTAAAAGGTTGATATTATTTTAAACATTTCAACAGATCTTTTTGTTATTTTTCTCAGATGCCCAGAGTTCTTATTTATGTTGAAAGATTTGCATTTCTATAGTTAATGATTTTTCTATAAAAAACAGCTGCTATTCCCAGAATAACTTAATTTTAGATTCAGAGAGAGATGAGGAACTAAATCTTGGGTGTCTCTCCCTATCATGTGTATATCTATTTTATCTAAAAAGCACTGACATAAACAATATTAAATAACTTTAGGTTATTGAAAAGATGTGGTATTATTTGAAATACCGAAGTCCTTGTAATTGTAGGCAGACTTTTTTTTCCCTTTAAAACTTGCATCTGTGGGCATACACATAAAACTTTGTGAAGTCAATCTTCTGATAGAGCTAGAAGCTTACTATCAGATTCAGAATATGATAGTCATAGAAAGTGTGATCACTATAGGAATTTAGATTTTGTTTTTGTGTACATATTTTTAGTATTAAACTACATATACTAAGTGATGAATTGGGGGGTATTTTTTCTTGGTTTTTAAATTAAAAACTTACTGAGATTACGAAATTAGGTGTATTTTGTCAGCAGTTTCCTGTTAGTTGACTATATGCAAAAAAGGAATTTAGAAAGTTATAATGTAGTAAATATTTAAATTGCTTACGAAAGCAATAAGGAGATCATGGGAGAAAGTATTAAAAACCAGGTTGAATAATGATAATTTCTAAACTCTTGGTGGGTGTTGTTTTTGATGGTGATAGTATTCTGTTTTATTTGAGAGATTATATATGCAAAGGTCTATATAATTTAGAAAATTCTCTTAGTCAAGTTTAAACATAAATTTAACATGAATACCTATGATACTGAGACAATTCAAGGGAACCTTAAAGATCAGACTGACTTTTTATTTTATAGTTGAATCTGAGTCTGGGAAAAGGAAGGTTTTATCCATTGTTTCATAACTAGGAATTAGTAAACTTAAGAAATTCAACTCACTTTCTTAAGATTATTAGGGTTCCATAATAGATAACTGACAAAATTATTTCAGTTGTGTTTCTGTTTTTAAATGTTGTAACAGTTTAATGTCTTTATATACTAAAAGAATTTTTAACTTTGTATAGGAGAATTATGGATTTGATAAAATTGAGGTGCGAGACAATGGTGAAGGTATCAAGGCCAATGATGCACCTGTAATGGCAGTGAAGTACTACACCTCAAAAATAAATAGTCATGAAGATCTTGAAAATTTAACAACTTATGGTTTTCGTGGAGAAGCCTTGGGGTCAATTTGTTGTGTAGCAGAGGTAAGGTAATTTATGTTGACTATTTTAGTGATTTTATAATCACAGAATATTAGAATTAAGGGAAAAACTAAGCCAGTATTTGACAGAGAATTTTTTTTTTTAATTTCATTGGGGAACAGTGTGTTTTTCCCAGGACCCATCAGCTACAAGTCAAGTTGCTGTTCTTCAATCTAGTTGTAGAGGGCGCAGCTCAGCTTCAGGTCCAGTCGCCATTTTCAATTTAGTTGGGGGTCAGAGGGGGCAGCCCACCTTCCCATGCGGGAGTCAAACCGGCAACCTTGTTCTTAAGAGCAAGCACTGTAACCAACTGAACCATCCTGCTGCCTGCCCGACAGAGAATTTTTTTATTGTGGTGAATGTACATAACAAAATTTACCATTTTAACCATATTTTAAAATTAAATTTATTGAGAACATTGATTAATAACTACATTATATTAAATTTCTGTATACTCTATTGTATGCTTACCATCCAAAGTCTAGTCTCCTTTCATCACCATTTTAATCACTCATAAGTGTACAATCGAATTGTATTAAGTACATTCACATTGTGTGTAGCCATCACCACCATCCATCTCCAGAACTTTTTCATCATCCCAACCTGAAGCTCTATATGTTAAATTAAATAATAAATCCCCGTTCTCCTTTTGACGCATCCCTGGTCACCACTGTTTTACAATCTCTATGAATTTGACTATTCTAGGTACTTCATATAAATAGAACCATACAATATTTGTTCTTTTGTATCTTGCTTATTTCACTTAGCATAATGTCCTCAAGGTTTATACTTCTTATAACCTGTATCAGAATTTCATCCCTTCTTAAAGCTGAATAATATTCCATCCATTGTATGTATAAACCACATTTTGTTTATCCATTTATATGTTGATAGACATTTGGGTTGCTTCCACCTTATGGCTAGTGAATCATGATGCTATGAATATGGATGTACTAATTAATGTCTGTCTGAGTTCCTGCTTTCAGTTCTGATTTATCCAGAAGTGGAATTGCTGGGTCATATGGTAATTCTCTTTAATTTTTTGAGGAACAGCAAAGTGTGTTTTGCAGAGTTAATATTTAGAAGAGGAAAAAGTGGTTTAGAGTGCCCTTTGGCTTGGAAAAAATGTATTAAATAAACAGGTATCTTAACTATAAGCACTTTTCAGAGCCTTTGCTATACTAAAGCACATTGTGAGTCTCTCAGGTTGGTGGTTTATAACAGGTACATTTTTATGTACCTACTTGACTGTGAAACCCTTTTATAGAGAAGCATTTCACTATTTTGTTGTTGTTCTGTGGAACACATTCTGGGTATACCACCCTAGTTAACACAGATAATTATTGAGTAATTATTGAGTCATTAGAAAAGTCATGACGCATGTTTGCAACAGATGGCACTAGTTCATTTTTGGAAGTACTAGAGTCATTTGCATCTATGTTATTGCTGTGTCATTTGACAGCTGACAGTTCTAGCTTTATTCTAAAAAAAAATTGAGTGATTTGGTTGAGTTTTGGAGATTTTACAACAAGTTGAAGATGGAAGACCAAACTGCATTTTTGCCGTCTTTTACTGTTTTACTTCCATCAAGGGAAGAATGTGCATCAAGCTTGTGAAAAGTTGCATCAAGTTTATGGTGACAATGCTCTACAAGAACGTCAGTGCCAGGGCC